AATATCAGTACCTGTGACCTAGACCATTTCATGTGAAGAGTCCAAATGGAAAATACATTAGGAAAGCGTGGTGTTAACAATTCCCAGTGTCAAGCAGAACCAGGCAGACATTCACTTCAGGACATTTATCTAGAATAAAGCGAGCAATTAAGCTACTGGGGAGCAGGAAAGAGTAAGCTTGCGTTTTGGTTGCACTGCCATCCCAGTCCCTGACTTAAACACCTTGGAAGTTTACAATAATTAGTGTGACAAATTTTCATTTGTCTTACTTTGATTACTTTTTAAGTTAAAAATTTAAACTGGTATAAAGAAAAAAATTGCATAAAGAAAAAATGAAATAACCTATAAGAAACTGTCACAGAATTTCTGGTTCCTTGAATGAATCCTTCCAACCTCAAGTCAAAGCCAGGAATCTTTCACGTGTGAATTAAATGCCATTAGGAGTCATATTTTGGTACGTGTAGGGCAGCCCCCTAGACATAATGCAGATCCATTGATTCTTCACCTGCAACTTCTGGACAGATGCCGATGGATTCCTTCACCAGTGAATTTCTAGATTCAAGAATGTCTCAAGGCCTATGCCTCATAAAACACATTTTAAACTTCCAAACTGCCAGTAATAATTGGCTTCAGAGGATCCTCCAAGGAAGTAAAAATATATTCCTAAGCACACTTGACACCCTTTAGGGTTTGCTCGTTTTATACGCAAGAGAACAGAGAGGGATGAGAAGACATGAAGGGTCCTCCTTAGCCCTCCTGCGGAGAGCGGCAGGCATCTGTAAGTGCTCAAACGCTCCATCAGAGCCGAGATCTTAGAAAGAATGATCACCTCCGTTGAAAAATAATATTTTGTCAGTCCCTTAAAAGTGGGAGTTAAACTGAGGATTTGTTATCGAGGTCTCATGTTTTTTTCCCAGAAAGCTTTTTCTTGTCCTGTAAAATGGTTTTCACGATACAGGAGGGTTCCGGTTGGGGACAAAGGCTGAAGGAATAAGGCATGAGGCGAGGCAGGAAGAAGCGCAGGGTCTTCAAGAGAAACGTAAAATCTGTTCTTACATCTGCAAAGAGACTTCCTGGCTTGCTGTTTTCATCAAGAAAGCTGTTAATTCATGATCTATTATAGTTCCCCAAGTTATTACCAAAGAGATTAACTGCTCATGTTTTTGATTACTTACAGGCAAAATTTTCTTCCTAAGGTGCTATTAAAAGAAATCCACTATGTTGTTTTACAACTGCCACTCAATTATCTAATAACCAGCTCTCCAAGGCTCTCTGTGATGCATGACAACTGAGAATTAAGACCACCCCACCGAGGGGTGAGTCACCGAGTGGACACTTGCTACAGAGCAAATGCCTGCACCAGCCCTGCTGTGCTGAGTGCCCTCCAACGACTAAGCTTGGCTAATCTGAAAGGCTTTAATGGGCCATGGCCACTTCCTACTTTTCACTTCTTATAATCGTAGAATTTTTCCTTCTTGACAACAAAAATTATTAGAGAGAATATCAGAGTGTCAGGTACAACACTTATCAGCATTTCAAAAAGTTATAGACAATTTAAAATGTTGAACAAATTCAGTAACAGCTTTTCAAGACTCCGAATCACTTGCATTTTAAAGCCTGTATCAGACATTGCAATGTTAAAGGTAAATTATTTGAACGTCTATTGCGTAGTAAGGATGTCAGAGAACAATGGGTAATTAGGCCATACTGTACATCTTGTGTCCACAGTCCAAGCAATTTTTGCAGAATGTTGTACTACTTAAACTGCTCTTGCAAAACAGGCAATTATTGCACTGAATTTTCCATAAAATCCACCCAAATAAATCTTGTAGTCTCTCATCTTTGCAGATGAGCATCTTCCCTTTGAGAAGATGCAGTAGAAAAGCAACTTGCTACAGAAGCCAGCAGGAAGGTTTCTTGTCTGAGACTCCATAAGTTTTTCGTTTCATTAACTCTCCTCCACCTCCTTTATTCATTCGACAAACACATACTGAGCACCTCTTCTGTTCCAGGCACTCTTCCAGACTCAGGGTATACACTATGAACAAAATACCCAGAAGTCCCTGCCCAGTGGAGCTTATATTCTAATATGGTGAGACAGACAAGCACATAAGTACATAGTATCACAGGGATCAAAATAGCTTAGAGACATCCTGTCTGAAATCTGTTTAGTGCATCTCCTCATTTGGGGGTAGTGGTGAGTGACCCGAAAGGCCAGTAATGGACTGCAATGTCACTTGTCCTAATGGGTGAACTACAGTGATTCCTTCAACTAACCTGGGTCTCAGTTTCTCATCTATAAAATGGGGAGAGGTTGGGGTAAGTGTTTTTTTTTTTTTTTTAAAGAGAAAGGGTCCTTTCAGGCTTCAATTCTCATGGTTTTATGGAAGCATCTTGCACAAAATCAAAAGCCATTTGTTGACTGTTCTACATTTAAAAAAATACTTAAAAAGAAAATAGAAGAAGCTCTTAGGTATTTCACATGCATTCAGCACTTTAAATGCCACTCTAAACTTCATAAGTAGCAAACACCTTATTTACAACTGCTACACAATGAAGTCATTTTACCATCTTCAGCCATTAGAAAAGCATATTCATTTGCACTGTCGGTTACATAGTCCCACCTCATTTGTAAAACCCTCCCCTGGGCGTGGCACTGTCTCTCTCCTGCTAACCCAGATACTGACTTTGTGCTCCTGTCTGACCTTGTCCCCTGGACTATCAGCTCTACCAGAACAGGGACTGGGTCCTTGCTTCTTTGGATGAGAACCTGTCCAGATAATCCACAGACGTGTCGTCACTGCACCTACACCACGTTTTATGGGCTCAGGCCTTTTAGAAACCCACATTAATTTTTCAGGCTGTAAGAAGAGTTCTACTTAATAAAAATGGAGCTATAGTGTACCAAAGGGTATGTTAACATCCAAAAAGGAAAAAAATGGGTTCCCAGAGCAATTCTAGGACAGACTAGGATAATGCGAATTAATAAATAATCCTAACCTCTTTGGAAGTCCTGGTGGAATGTTAATGCATATTTAATAATGCAAGCGAAGTAGCATGTATTTTGCAGTTAATTTTTCTTAAAGATGGTAACATCGCTGGAGTGCTGAATGTCACGTAAGGTGAGGCTCATACTCATTAACTTGGGACAAGTTATGAAGCCTCTGATTCTATTAAAAGACAAGCTGTATCCACTGGTTTGATCTTGAAATGTAGAAATTCCAATTTCCATCAATCCAGCAGCTAAGAATGACAGGAAATTTTATAGGACTATAAGAAATCTTATCTGGATCAGATCCCCACTGACATGCTGGCGGTTTCTGAAGGCTGCATGCTCCGTCTTTGAGTTTTATCCGTTGCTGAGTAATCAGATCGCCTACATATGTTTTCAAATTTGATCAGGTGGGCCCTGTCGAAAGGACACATCTTCTCAGTGCCTTTGGAGGCAAAGCGAAATCTCTGCCTTAATAACTGAATTTAATTCCTTCCTGTTGGTCTGTGATGTCAAGATGCACAGTGTCAGTATTACCAGAAGTGCCCTGTACGGGCTGCTGTGTAGACTGAGGTCTGTCCTGTCCTTACGGTCACTGGAAAGGAGGAAAGAGCACATCCTTGGCTGGGTGCATGCTACTGCTTCAGGACCAGGTGGGAAGGAGCAGCCGGTGACACCTCGAAGAAACCTGGGGCAGAATCAGAACATCTTCTGGCAACAAACGATATCTCAAACCAGAGCCTGTCCAGACTATGAGAGGAAGGCAGGTCCAGCAGACCTCAGCTGCATGAGTGAGGGTCAGAGGAAAATAAGGAGTCTCAGACAACGTTTGGCAACGTCGTTCACAGTTAAGGTAAATTCTTGTTAGTGAAGAAAATGCACTTTGGCATACATTGTGGAATTTAAGTATGTGTTTAACCTGTTGGATATCTGCACCTCAGAACGCAGTCCCTTTTTCACAAGGACAGGCAGGAGGCGTTACAGAGCCCTGCTGATGCTCACTGTCCTCACATCAGTGCAACTGCAGCCCCTCCCAGCCAATCCAAAGGGTCTACGGGTGGGATACAAGAGTGCACTGCGTCTGGCTTTGGCTGTTAGGTCTCCAGAAAGTCACTGTGTGCAGTGTACTCGTCAGGGTAAAGCCCTTGGGCTGCAAACAAATATAATTCTTAAGTCCAAACCTCCGTGGGCACTATGGCTTCCTTGGTTCCAACCGCAGGCAGTAGGTTTTCTTCAGACAAGAAATAAAGCGGGAATTGCACCAAGAACCCGCGGATCTTCTTCAGCTCTTCCTCCGCTCTGATGGGATCTTCCTTCGCTAAGATGGGCTTGCTTATAAAGTCTCTCAGCTGAATTAAATTGTGTACTTCATCGTTGGGAAGGCACCGGAACACCTGATTGAAATGCAAATAGGAAACTGAGTGCTAAGTTTAAAAGAAAGCATATCCCCTTTGTGGAAAGTATTCATTCCAACAGACAAAACCTTTGTCTTATGATACATGTATTCGTTTTATGTTACAGCACAAAACTGATGGAAGGGTTGTTTCTCTTCTTTGCTACAAAGAGACTGCTAGATTCTCTTCCATCAAAAAAAAAAAAATCACAGGTCCTATATCTGATCTACATAAGTGACTGACCTCAGGGTAAAGTCTAGCTAGTGGGAAGAGATTTCCCTGGTGTTACTCCACATTAAGGTTAATTTTTTGGATTATAATCATCCCTGAATTCCACTGGAGGTTCTGGTCTAAAAGGAAAGTCATATTCTGTATTTTCTCTAACTTTATTTTGAAAAAAATTCTTATCTGTACCTGTACTTAAACTTATCAATAGTCCACTTACTTTGCTAATTGAAAAGAAGTTTCACACATCATAATACTTTACACCTGAATACTCCAGCATATAATTTCTTAGGAATAAGGACATGTGCTTATATAACCACGATATCATTCTCACACCTCAGAAAATCAATTCCCTGTCATTTCAGATACCATCTAGATTTACCCGATTATTCCCAAAATGCCTGCTATCGCTGTTATCCCCTCAATCCAGGATCTAAACAAGGCTGTGTCCTACATTTTAAAAATTACATTTTAAAAGAATCCATGCACATGACATTTGATTGTGGCCTTGAATCCTCAGTATGAAATAAGGCTATGTAGACAGTTGTCATGTTCCATTAGAAATGATACATTTTCTGAGCTGAGGAGACTCTGGAAGTCAGAAGAAGAACCAGTCTTACCCAGTTTCTGACAGATGGTCAATGAATCCCAGCTTGAGTATTTTCTATGACAGAAAGCCGGCCCTTTCATGCTATAACCTGTTCCAGGGTTGGGTAACTCTTAACTCTTGTGTATAAGCGTTATCATTACCCATGGACAGAACTAATCAGAAGATGCATTTGGCCTTCCTAACAAATGAAGCTGGTTTTAAAACAGCTTCCCCAAATCAGAGGTGTCCAACAAAGGAAGCTTCTCATTATTAATCAGCTTCATTAGGAGAGATACCATTTACTATGTACCATGTGCTAAATCCATTTACTAGACTGTTCTCCATCCTCACGACCACCTGGTGAATATCCCTTCCAATTTATAGGCGAGGAAAGAAAGGAAGGCTCAGAACGTCAAGTTCCTCTGCACAAAGTTATAACACCAGCAGCTGGATGAGTTGGGCTGAACCCAGGTCTGACTCATTGTTTGATCCCATCTGCCTCTCTTCTTTGTTACTAGATGTACACAAAGGCTGGGTAACCACCTGCAGAGGATGCTTATAATAGGATTCCAGAATCTGAGACTAGAATGCCACTCAAGTCAGAATCCATGGTACTTTTTGACTCTATTTTTTTTTAATGTCCACAAATACGTATTTTATTACAACTTGGAACCGTATTGGCTTTTTATTCATTAAGAATACTCTGTACCAGTAATATGCAGAAATAATGGTGTGCTTTTGTGATGTGATTCAATTAAAAAGGGGAGCAGGATATGCGAATCTCACCTTATCATAAATTGTAGCATTTCGAGCTGCCGTTGAAACCCACACCTCCTTGAAGAATTTGTCACTCACTGGATCCTGAATGTCTTCACTGGAGCCAGAAAGATAGCCGAGGACAACCCTGAAATATAAGCGCCCTCCAAAATGAGTAACTGAGACAAAGCACTTTGCTGCAGGCACTGTTTCTAATGGTCCAGTAATTCAAGCACTCAGCCACAGAGGTCTAAATTTTCTTTTTTAGGAAATCAAAGGAAGCCATTAAGACTAAGTGTGTGTCTCTGTATGTCTATATAAAAAAATCTAAGTTGTTATGATGCTTGAAAATTTTAACTGTTGGTCAGAGAAAGACCCTCATTTTGTTTTAAGAAAGTCCTCGTAATTTGGCCGAAGAGGGTGAGGACACTGGAGGATAAGATGAGTGTGCAAAGCATGTGCCAGCCAAGGTGCTGAGCCCTTTCCAAAAAGGATCTCAGGAAATCCTCCACAACCTTGTGAAGAGGCATCTGTTATTGTTTTCATTTTACAGGAAAGGGAACTAAGGCACAAAGAAGTTAAGCAACTCGTTCAAGGTACAGAGCTGGTAAGCTCTGGATCTGGGGCTCCAGCCAGGACCACCCGACTCCCAGACCTGCGCTCTTAACCATAACTTGAGCTTCCCTCCTTCCCTCTTCCCTCCCTTGGGCCACGAACGATGCCGAACTAGGGTACAGAAATGAATATGGAAGACATGGAGCCTCTCTGGGTGGAGTTAAATTTGGAGGATGAGATCAACAATAAACACTCTCCAAAGGAATTAATTAAAATGTGATAAATACCAGGTGTGCTTCAAGAGGATGTGATGGGGTAGTCGGGGAGGCTCTTCCTTCCCTTCCCTGTTTGCCTAACCCTACCTCCCATCATCCAGGTTCAGTCCAAGGATCGCCTCTATAAAACTTTGTACGACTCCCCATTCTCCCATCTCCCATTTCTTTCTGTCAATCTTGAGTGATATGAACATTCTTCCTTTGTCCCCACACTGTGCTTCCCATACGCTTCGTTTTTATCAGAGCATCTGCGACGCTTTACGCACTTTTTGTTTTTAACAGGCCTGTCTCCCACTTCCAGTGTGTAAATTCTTGGAAAGAAGAGGACCCGGCTCCTCTCACATCCCCAGGGCCCCTGGCATAAAAGAAGCCAGGTAGTGGATATTGCCTGAATTGATCAAATATAAACAGAGGACCAGAAATGACAAGAAATTCTCAAGCAAAGCAAGACGAGTTTTAGAGGTCATATTTGAAAATTAGAAGGACTCTTGTACTTACATAAAGCCTGAGAGTTAAAAAGCATTTCCATCTTAATCCTGCGAGGTAGAAGCTACATGATTCACATTTTGCAAATGGGAAACTAAAGGTTGGAGACACACTATTACTAGAGCTAGAATCACCACTGAGGCCAAAGCCCTTTTCTCACATAGGCAGGCTCAAGAAATACCCAAAAGGCTTGTACTACGTTGGAAATACAAGTGGGGACATGGGCCTCTGAAGGACTTGGGCTTTTTACATTGAGTGAAATTGGGGCATCCTGCGGACACTGGAGCCGGGAGGGACAGGATCTGACTTACATATTAAAATACGGCTGCTGTACTGAGAACAGACTGTGCAGGGTAAGGGCTGAAACAGGGACACCAGTGAGGAGTCACTGCAATAATCTTGGTGGGAGATGATGGTGGCGTGGGTGGTGAAAACATAAGGTTTTATTGATCCAGTAGACAGAGGGCGTGAGAAAAAATGAGGCATCAGGGTGACTAAAAGGGCTTTGGCTCGAGCAACTAGAAGAATGTAGTTGTCACTAGCTGAGAAGGAGGATGCTGCGGGTAAAGTCCGTTTGTGGGGGAAGACCAGGAATTCAATTTTGAAACTGCTGGGACATCTATTAAATATTCCAGTGGCAATGCTAAGTGGGTAGTTGGATACATGAACCTGGAGTTTGGGAGAGAAGATTTGGCTGGAGATACAAATTTGCAAATTGTATATATATGTGTGTATATATATATATATATTCCTAAAGCCATAGGACTTTAACTGAATTTACCAAAGTAGTGAGTACAGACAGAGAAGGGGACCAGCGCACCTGACAGCAGGGGAGAGAAGGAGCAGTCAGTGAGGCTGCAGAGAAGCCAGAGGGTGAGTGTCCTGGAACCACACGAAGTACGTCAAGGAGAATGGTGTTCAATTCAGATGAGAACTGGCCACTGGACTTAACAGTGTGGAGGTCATAATATTATCACCTTCTTTGTATTGAAATATATAGGTTTACATCACCATTTTTGTATGAGGGGGAGGTAATTAGGTTTATTCATTCATTTCTACTTGGAGGAGGCACTAGGGATGGAACCCAGGACCTCGTGTGTGCTAAGCATGCACTCTGTCACTAGAGCTATCCCCTCCCCACTACATCATCATTTTTAATGACTGTAGAATTTCCTGTCATGTGAAATTTTATTCAACCAATTATTTTATTATGACCTTTTGGGTAGCTTCCAGTTTTCCATTATTATTTAAATAATGCTATAATGCATAATTTATTCATCACATCTAATACTTTGTACATTTCTATGATTATTTCACTAGCAGAAATTTAAGAATTAAAATTCCTGGGTCAAACAGTATGCGAAATTTACTTCAAGAGAGGCTGTTCCAACACATATGGTATTAACCACGTGTGTTCTCCCCAGTCATCTCCGGTACTATCAACTCCTGAAAAAGCTCAGCCAGCTTATGGATAAAAAGGCATCTCATTTTAGTTTTCGTCTGCAGTTTTTCTGCTGTATAAAAATTCTCTAAAATAAACATATCTGGCACCTGGGCTCACCAGGATTCTTAAAGTTTTATAACCTCAAAATTCTATTTCCACTTCAAATAATGTCTCCTTTGGACTACACAGGAATAACTTTCAAAAAGATCCTAAGGGATGATGTTTGCACAGATGCTGCTGCACATAAAGACCCAAAGCAGAATTTAACTGCACCAGATTTGAAGGACAGAACAAGTTATAACAATAAGCCAATTATAATAATACCTTTGATTTGGGTCGGGTCTAACCAGCTGAAAACAGAGCAGAAAGAATATTTCTGTGACTTTGCTTTTAAGTTAGAACAAGAGGTGAGGCAATGTGTCTATCAAGTTATCAGTTAAGAGTTCGTGTGTAGAGAAAGCATTTAAATAAATCTGTCTATAACAGACACTATTCAGTAATAAGTTACTTTCCCTATCAATTTTTTAATTATAAAAACTTACATTAAAATGCACGGAAAAAATAACACAAAGTATTCTGGGTATTCTTTTGAGGTTTCAGAGTAAATGGATTTGCTTTTACGTTGACATGTATAATGGCAATGATTTAATGTTGGATTGTTTATGCATCAGGGGGACAGCAGGAAACCTTCAGGAAACTTTTTCTGTTCTTCACATTCTTCACGTCTGTCACTCTAAATGATCCTGAGCTCTGCTTGTGTGGATCCTGGTTCTACTGAGCGACGGTTGCGTCTATAAAGTTTGGATAATTTGCTAGGACTGAATGAACTGTCTGGCACGTAGTTGTGGCATTCAGCGCAGTACCCTGATGGTTGATCCTGTTTAGAGTTGACTTCGCATTAAGATGAATCCCTTTATTTCTATTCAAAAGTAGCCCAGGTGGAAAATGGTTGAAGTTGCATTTTTTTGAGGGAGAAAATGGCTCTGTTCTAGGCCACAGTATTTATCTTTGAGAATATTTCCTAATAAAAGACAGCTAAAATCAACACAAAGTTTTCATGGTGCTTTTTAATATATTATTTGTGTTTGCCATCATGGCAAAGTGAAAATGGTTGTTCGAGAACAAGTGCCTCTTTAAGATAGTTTGAAAGTTGCCAGGAAACTAAAGCACCTAGCAGTGAGCTTAGCATGAGATGTGTGGGATCAGCGAAAAAACTGGTAACAACAGAAGACTTTAATGATTACTGAAGGGCTCCTGCTTCCAATAATGAAAACCCTAAAGCTTTATTGAAGAACAAAAAAAAAATTTGAATAAATTGAAGCCTATGCCCTGCTCTCCAATAGGATGGCTCAATATTATTAAGATGTCAACTCTTTTTATATTAATCTATAAATATACTGTAATCCTGATTTAAAAAACTGATGAGAAAACTTGAATAAATAATTTAAAAGTTCATTTAGAAGAATGACTATTTAAAAGTAGGCAAGGAAGGGCGGGTATAGCTCAGTGGTAGAGTGCACACTTAGCACGCACGAGGTCCTGGGTTCAATCTCCAGCACTCCATTAAAAATAAATAAATAAACCTAATTACCACCCCTCCCCCAAAACCCACCAAAACCAGAAATACACAAAACAAACAAAGTAGCCAAGATTATTCTGGAAAAGAATACTAATTTGGGGAAGTGGTATGGCAGGAAGTAGCATTACGGTGCACAGCTACAATAATTAAAGTGGTATCACACTGGCGTGCAGTCAGCAGACTTTCAATAGGACATCACAGAGAGCAGAGACAAGTCAGGATGCATGGCAGCTCGGTGCCCCAGGAAGAGGCACTGCAGGCTGGAGAGGCACAGAGTGCTGCAATCATGCAGTTCTGGACCAGCTGGTTTGTTGGGGAAAAGGAGTTAGAGTCCCTGCCTCATTCCTTACATTGAAATAAATTGCAGATGTTAAATGTAAGAAGTAATATCAAACAAATGCTGGAAGAAAATATAAGTAAATATTTGATCTTGGGCTGGGGAAGCTATTCTAAGTATATTTTGTAAAAGGAGGAACAAAAGAAAAACCTGATAGATCTGATTAATAAAAACTGAAGTTTTCCCCAAATGCTCTAAATATGATTAAAAGGCAATTGGCAAATCAGATTCACAACGAATGGGAGAAAGAAACTAGCTCCTTATATATTTAAATTACTTATAAATCATTAAAAGAAAGTGAAACATTCCAACAAAATTGGGCAAAGGACAGGAATAATCTAGACAATTTACAAAAGGACAACTGCAAATGGCTAACGAATACATTTTTAAACCCTCAAATTGCACATTAAAATAATGAAATTCTATTTGAAACCCAACAAATCAGCAAAGGATGAAGTAATTGAATAGACCTCAGAAAAGACAGGAGGGCTAAGCCCTCTAAAACACGGCTGGTGATAAGTAGGATAAGAAATCAGAGGGCAAACGAAACTGCACACTTCCTTTGACTAGAAATTCCATAGTTTGGACATAGTCAAGGAAACAATTAAGAAGGTAAGCAAGATGCTGTCTACAAACATACCTACTTCTTTACATCAGCAAAAAAACTTGCCTGTCAATGAGGTTTCGGTTAAAGGGATTATGGCATACTCATACGATGTAACACAACGCAGCCATTCAGTGTCACAGAAGAACACTCTAATGACATGGAAAAGTGTAACAGTGTTTAAATAATGAAGACCTTTGTAGAACTATGAGATCCTAATTATGTTTAAAAAGAGAAATACAGTATCGTAATATTTATGTATAGAAAAAAGTGGGATGTTGAAATTGTTAGCACTGAGTGGTGGGATTACAGACAAATTTAATTTTCTTATTGCTTTTCTGTGTTTGTCCAATTTTCTAAAGTGAAAATGTGTTGTAATGAGAACCCTCTCCCTCTATAATTATTCCACATTTAGAAAGTTTTAAAGAAGCTCACATCTTTAAATACTCAAGTTCTCATGGAACTGGAACGGTGTGACATTTACTTCTAGTTTATAGGAGGAAATATTTGTTTCCTTATATAAGCTGCAGTAGGCAATCAGTGGGTTGATTAACATGATACTAATTTTAAACTCTCCCCTGTTAAACAAAACAATTTAACATTAGATGCTAATTGGAGTATCAATGGTCAGAAAAAAAATTTACTGGTAAAACAATTAGTAACAAAGACAATAAATAAAGCAATAAAAGCTGTGACAAGGGATTGACAGTCAGATTTTGAGGGATGAACTTGCTGAGCTCCTCTGGGGCAGAGGGAGCAGAATGAACATCTCTGGAACTGAAGCTTGGGTCTCAAAAGCCAGAGTGTGGAGTATGAGGTAATGGCTGCCAGCACCTGCAGGAGGGAAGGGCTCCCTATGTGCCTGTCTGCAAGTGAGCCAGTTTCCAGAAGCGACCAGTAACACTGGAAGGGCTAAAACGACAGCATTGCACCAGTATCTATGCAGTGCCTCTCATCAAATGGCTTAAAATGCCATCCTTAATCAGGGGCATTTGGCTCTGTCTCACTGTAGAGGCCATACTGAAATCCCATCCTGGCCAGTATAGTTCTGGAATAATAGAATTATGGGCGTACTGCAAAAAGCGTGGAGATGGGAAGGTGGTCGGGGTGTTCCACAGACAGTGGGGAGCTCAGTGTGTCTGCAGTGGGCAAGGGGAAGAGTGAGACGAGATAAGCCATTGGGGAAAAAGAAAAGACAAGAAGCCACTGGGGAGTGGCTGAGCAGTGGAGTGACCGGCTCTGAGTTAGGTTCTGGAAGGATCACTCTGACCACTGAGATCAGACAGCAGGGGCTGTTCAGAGCCCCGCCCAGGAAAGTTCTCAGTCAACCTTAATTGAATGAAGGACTCATTTAGAGCCACACATCCCTTGCTTCCTAGCCCAGTGTTCTCTGCTTCACCACAGACTTGTTTGAAACTCACATTTTCTTACAGAAGATCAAGAGCCGTCCATGTCTGGAGGTCATCTTAAATCTGAGAACTGAAGTTCCCACATTTAAATTTAACACCAGCATCTCTCACATTCTCCTTTGGGAATTTTTATCATATCCTTGTATTACTGGAACTATTTCAATTTCTAAAAATGGACTCACTATAAAAAACTTAAATAGACACTAGACGGTTTGACCTGGTCCTAAATCAATTTAAATATACATATTTATATATATATATACATATATATATATAAATTAATAGATTTTAAGTGCTAGTTTTCTCTACTGGACATAAAAATAATAAAAACTATTGACAGGAAACGTCTGCGCCCCACACAGTCATTTTGCATACGACTGGGGGTTCACGTCCTGTGTCCTGGGGGATGCTATTTTAGAGAAGACGACCCTGGAGACGGCATGTGTGCTAAAGGCAAGAGGCTGGGGGGTGGGGGCGGGGTTCCAGTGCCCACTGCAGCAGGACTGCGTAAGGGAGACCCAGATTCGGAGACCCACCGGAAGCACTGCAGCCGAAGCCCCTGGGCGAACCGGCCAGCTTGGTACTCTTTTCCATCCATTACCGAAGGGACCAACTCCGTGTCCTGCATGATGACGGCCATCTCACTGTCACGTTTCCCCAGCATGCTCCGGTCATTTATGTTGGCAGAGCCTAGAAAGAGAGACAGCCAAACGGAACAATTTTCTCATCAGGCAGGTGCTCATTTGCCCTCTAGACTTGATTCTTCCTTGCTAATGAAACCCTAATTTTGTTCAGGTTATCAACAGACGCCATGCTTTAGGGAGGCAGGGCCCTCCTTAACCCAGGGATGACTCTGGATCCATCGAAGTCAGCCACTCTTTTTGCCAGTGACTGGCTTAGGAATGGCCACTTGACATGATTCCAGCCTGTGTACCATGACGGAAAATCTGCGAGGGACTTCTGAGAAATTTTTTTCTACTTCTTATAAATAAACACAAGAACAAGATGGTATCTCCTCCAGTCTTTGGATACTCTGGCTTGAAGGGTTGCATGAGGACATGATTCCAGGAGCTGCTGCAGCCATTTTGTAACTACTAGGGGACAAACAGACAAGTTGAAGGTGGAAAAGCAGAAAGAGGAAAGACTCTGGGTCCTTAAGTCACTGAACCAGCCAATCTTCGAATTTCCTTACCTTCTGTTATGTGACATAATACATTTTCCTTATTTCACATACTTCTAGCTGAATTTTTTATCTTGTGGCTCAAAGGATTCTAACTGATGTAATCATGAAGCACACAGAGGGAAAAGATCACTTACCAGCTCAGTTAAATCAGCTTTTACACTTACGAATCATATTCTGTAGACTATAATTCATGGTCATATAATTATAAATGTCAAGACCCAAGAGGCCCTTCATAAGCAATCGAGTCCACTCTCAGATATAGATTATCATTAGTGGCTTTGCGTTTCCATTCTCTTGCCTCACTTGTGTGGCACACCAACAGCTTCTATATCAACTTCCCTCCATTCTATTTTTAAATCCAAATGAGCTGTGAATGTTGACTTTCACATGGGAAGAGCAAGTATTTTAATATTAGTTCAATCTGTGCTTTGTCTGCGCATCTCTGCCGTGTAGTCAACAACGTTGTTACGTTTTCTGCATTAATCATTGTGAAGCCACACTTTTGAATCCTTGAGGTGTCCTACAAATGACAGGCTCTTTTTCCTTCTGGCTCCTCTTGCCCTAGCCCCACATTCCACTGCTTCTGCAGACTCAGAGCAGAAGGGTCGGGTTGAATAGGGGGCACGAGCTACCTACCCTCTACGACGGGGACTGTCAGGGTGTAAAGTGATGGCAGCCCTGCCTCGAACCCAAGTGGTGGGATGTCGGACATGAGAGGAAGCTGGTCCTTTCCCAAGAGACTTTACTGCCATTTGCCACAATATTGTCACGTAGTTAATACATGCATCTATGGTAACCATGGATGTGAATGGTGCCCCATGGTGACCTTGTGTGACAGAGAAAGGATGGAGCACCTCACAGAAATCTGGGGGCTCTATTAGAGCACTGTAAGGTAGGACCCACCTTTGAAACACTTAAAAAAAAACCTGAAGTACGGTCAGTTACAATGTGTCAATTTCTTGTGTACAGCATAATGTTTCAGTCATATGTATACATACATATGTTCATTTTCATATTCTTTTTCATTACAGGTTACTACAAGATACTGAATATAATTCCCTGTGCTATACAGAAGAAATTTGTTTTTTTTTAATGTATTTTACATATAGTTAGTATTTGCAAATCTCAACCCCCCAATTCATTCCTTCCCTCCCCCTTTCACCCTGGTAACCATGAGTTTGTTTACTGTTTGTGAAACACCTTGTTTTGTGAGCAAGAAACCATGCTTTATACGTACACCTGCATGTTAATGATGCTGTAAAATCTGCAGTCATGTCTTTGGACCTCACTTTGGGTCCAGTATTAATTTGGGCAAAGTCATTTAATCTTTCTCAGCTTTAATTTGATCTTTTATAAATTGTGATTGTAAGACACACCTTGTAGGGTTTCACATACAAGTCAGGATGTGAAAGCACTTTCTGACCTATAAACTGCTCCACAATGCTAAACTATTATTGGCATTATTATCCGATACTTCTCACCTCGATAATATCTGCACCAGAGAACACTGCCACGGGAAGGAACGATCTGCTGGCGCGTAGCCTTTGTATCAAAGAAGCCTCTTCTCTGGGTGAACAGCCCCTCACCCAAGAATGTGAACTGTCAGGGGCGAGGAATAATGACCCCATGGTGCTGCCTTGGGACGTCACTACCTCAGGGCCCCAGCAGAGGCCGCTCTCAGGCTGGAGGGCTGCTGGACTGGGAGGACACTGTTGCTCTTCACTGCCAGGGAAACAGGGGATGTGAGCCCCCTGGAAAGCCTCGCATACACTCTTACTTTCACAGCAGTCCCCCAGGCTCCCACCCACCACGGTGGGCCCCACACTTGCCAGAGGAGGAACGCATTATGGCATTCTGAGCTGGAATTCTTAAGAGAGAGGGGGTCATTCTTGTACTTCCAGGGCCCGTCTGGGGCTTCCCAGAGCACTGGGATCTTATGGTAGCTCACAGAGAAAAAAATGTGACAATGAATATATATATGTTCATGTATAACTGAAAAATTGTGCTCTACACTGGAATTTGACACAACATTGTAAAATGATTATAAATCAATAAAAAATGTTAAAAAAAAACAAAACAACCCAACCTCTCCAAACCTATTTAACTGTTAGCTCAGCTACTGAAGACTACTTTGTATTTATACTTGATGTAAAATAAATCAGGCTGAAAGTCAAAGTGACCTTTAAAAGGAAAATATTTACGTCTGTCAATTTTTACCTCAAGAGTTCTGAAATTGTGCTGAAAAGACCGACTGGATTTTATTTGACTTTTGTTTGTTTGTTTTTGCATTTCAGTAAACATCAATATTTTTCCTTTCCTTACCATCATGGCCAAGTTTAATATAAAAATATTCTGAGATGGGCTTGTGAAGAGCAAGAACAGAACAGCTCATGGGAAATAAGAGAAAACTTATTTACTATGGGAAGTCGGGGGGGAAATAAATCCTTAAAGAGCTTTAATCCCTATAGAGCAAGAGACTGAAGGCATAAGATATTTTTCAAAACGCCCTGAGTAAGTATTAAAAGAATGTGTGTGTGTGTGTGTGTGTGTGTGTGTGTGTACATGTATATATATGTATCACCATGCTGTGGTCCATACATTTTCTGGCTTCAGAACTTTTTCTTTCTTTTCAAATCATGTTCCAGATAAGACAGTCTCATGACTCCTAGAAATGAGAATTTTTTCTTTTCTCAGTGGAGGAGAGAGATGGAAAAGGCATATTTACTGCCAAAAATTTTCGAAGTACTCCATGACATTTAGTTTCTTAAAGAATAGGTAAGTATCTTATGATAGCTGAGAAACTACATTTTATTTAAAACGGATGAGCAGAGTTCCCAACAGTGGAACACATCATCTCTCTAAGTAACACCCTCCCCTTTGTCAATTCATTGATCTGCCTGGTTATGAATATCCTGTTTCTCATCCTGGCCTTTCAGGGTCCATGTAACGTGATGTTAGAAGGCAAAACAATTCAGTGATGGGAAAATGAAGCTTTCCATGTGTATCAAAGAATGAGGCTGAAAATCTGCCCCTCTGGTCCAGGTGATCAAGCTGGGTAGAATGTACAACGGTAACTCTCTCTGGAACCTGGCAGAGGGGAGAGGCCTACAGGAACAGACTGCAGACCTCAGTCTAGAAGTACATCATCACATTACTACACAACTTCCACCTCACCCCCCAACATCAGCAAAGCCGGTCTGCTCTGCACCCTGACTAATAACACCCAAAACATCGACTCTGGGAAAAATTGGTAAGCATAGGCACAGCAATATTTTAATATCTTTCCAATCCTGACTCTTGGGAAACTTCAGATCTGTGGTAATGGTCAGGTGGATGTGGTGTGGTACTCATTTGTGACACATTTCCCACCCTACTTCTCCCCACTCCAATCCCCGAGGTCTAGGTACTTGGATTCAAAATAAAAATAAGGGAATAATAAAGAATTAATGAAAGCAGACCGATTACTGCACTGCTGGGTTAAACCACTGTCTCTGGACACTCATTTGCACAATGGCCATTTAATTGCTCTGTGCCTCTGTTACTTCATAGATAAAAACAGGGATTAGAAAGGACGTAAGTGAAAAAGATTGCTTCAGAAATGTTTAAGATATTGTATGTCTGTCCCTCTCAACTGCAAAAGAAGTTTCAGAGGAATGGATAGAAAGATTTTTGCATGAGGTAAGTCAACTAGCGAGGAACACAGAGACCAAGTACTTACCAAT